CAGTGAGCTCGAAGATCGTGCATCATTCAATACTGAGATGATGATCCACTGATTCAAGGAGTAGTCTAGCAGTGGAGTCTTATCTACAATCATTTCATCGCTAGTTATCAAAGAGCGACACCGACCTCATTACCACCGAGGCATTAACGGAGTCAGATTACAGAGCGCTTGAGGGGCATCATTATGAGGACGAAGATCCGAGATGAAGCAGTGATCCATTCCAGGCTCACCATCTAAGCGAAGACATGTTTGTAAATTGGATTGTCTTGTAATGTGAAAACTTTATTTCTGGTGAAGACTATTCTATGATATTCATCGTTGGGGTCAACATTTTCCATCTGCATTTGCATCTTTTTTGTTGCATATATATTTTATTTTTAAGCATTTTCATATGCATCATTCATAAAAACATGAGATCAATTTGTGGAGAAGTCAGTGGAAGTAATCCTGATCACGTGACCATATTGAGAATATAAACAAGAAGCTGAAATCAACACGATAGAAGTTTGTTCGATTGAGTCTTCCAGGATGGTTCGAGAAAAGAGTCATCGTTCCCTAAGGTCTACGATGTTGATCCAGTGCACCATTTCCATCTAAGAAGCTCCAAACATTCCGCTAAGAACTGCAAGACACTAAAGCACAAAATCCATAATATGATTTATTCAGGGGTATCCTAATACTAAGCCAGAGAAGTCATTGCATCAACACTTGCATCCATAGAGATTGTTTTGTTTGAACTCGTTTTTGTTCTTTCTTCAATATTTGCTTAAATATTTTTAAGCTTTGATGACTGAAATGATGCTACCTTCTAAGGTTAAATAATTGAACAAATTTTAATCTTTAGTTCTTTGAATATCGAATGAATTACATATTCTTTTAATTCTTCAAGAATTATAGATTTTTGACATATGGCAAGATTAGACCTTTTTTTATCCTGTCTAAAACCCAAAATAAAATCTCTCGATTTTTTTACCCGAAATAATTCCTGGTCACTACCAAATAACCAATTTTTGACATTCTATCTCTTTGAGACCTTGAAATATTCTTTCCACCTTGAAACACTGTATTTATTGAGACACAAAAGTCATACCCATACCTTTTCTTTGAGCCAATAAAGTCATCATCGTCTTCTTAGACGTAGAACCAACATTTTCTACCAATAAAACCTACAGACATTGAGTACAAGATGTTCACTTGAACATAAACCTTCCTACAAAGAAGACACAGTGTGGGGCATCTCGCATCAATTTTCTGAAGACGAGCATGAGCAATTGAGACATGTTGAGAGCAAGAAGAGAAGAGAAAAAAAAAATAGAATTTATTCAAAATAATTCTATCATGCATTAATTACATTTTTTTCATGTGAATAAACAATTAATCTTGAAAATCTATCCCCCTAGGGATACCTCTTCTGCAAGGACTTCTGTGTATGAGATGATGAACGGCTTTCTTTCTTTATCCCTTCACAAAAGGAGAAAATATATCCCTTGTGTCCCCTTTTGAGCCTGAATGATATTTTCTTTCGATTCAACCCTAACCAAGGATCACCCTCCACACTGGGGGGCAATGTGAAGGAAATCTGAGTGAAGAAAATTGATCCAAATGAGATACCGAAAGGTGAACCAGACGCAGAGTGCAAAGATCAAACCAAAGAAAAAAAAAACAAAGAGCAAAGAAAAAAATCAAAGCAAAAATCAAAGAAAAAGCAAAGAACAAAAGAGGACAAAGAACACAGACAAAGAATCTCCTGACTTAAATGACGCATTGAGCTTCAAACCGTGAGATTAATCAAACACAATCACTCTAGAATCACTTGACTCGAAGATCATAAAACATCAAGAGAGGGACATGCGAGTAGATTCAAATTGAGCAAAACAAGATCGAAGGCATCAGAGTTAATTGATCCTTGGTTCAAATACCCTTAAAACACATGTTTGGGCCTTTTATCCCTTTCTTTCATAACCCTGAACTATGACCTACATTACGTGCCTTACAAGTCCCTTCTAATCATACATGGATTTCTAAGCGGAAGAGACTATCCTCATATTTCATCCCGCCTATCAGGATTAATATTTTACTTATAAAGATTTTCTAAAATCTTTAATGCATGATAGAGAAAAATAACAAAGGGGGGTTAAAGACGTAAAATTCTGAGTAACGTCTTGAAACCAAAGGAGGATTTGAGTTGAAAACCTGAAAGGGCGGCTCGAATATGAAGATTATTACATAGGAGACGATTGCTCAAATCCCTTGATGAGGCATCACAACATGAATGAGAACATGAGAGTTGGGAGTCAGAGAACACTTCCAATAACTGAGTACAGAAGCTACTCCATCAGATCAGAGAACATCAAATAATGAGAACACTATATTTTGACCAAAATAACCACTTGAGACTTTTTATCCTCCCTTACTTAACCATCTCTCAAAGATAGCGTTGATCTTGACACTTGTCAAATAGCTATAATTTATTGAAGGATTAAAGTGTAAATTCTTTGATATCCAATGAACTCTTATTCTATGATTTGTCAATTGTGAAACCTTAAAAGGGGCAATGTTTTCAAATCTTTTGATCAAACATTTTTCAAAACTATTGATATTGTCAGACTTTTGAAAATAAAAGAAGAAGAAAAACATTTTCAAACAAGATAATCTCTCTGGAGGCGTATCTTGGAATTCAAAAAAAATATATCTATCTGAAGCTCAAAGATCGAAGCTGGGGCAAGAGAAGCTAAATTTTAGGGCAAAATTTGATGGAATAAACAAATGGTCTCAGGTCAAGGTTTGTAAGAGTACATTGGTGGAAATACGGACAAGTTGAATCAATGATAGATGAAGAATACTTTCGCAACTATTCTCTTCCAGATCGAGAAAACATACATACATACAAACATATATACACATACATACATAATACATAAAATTTGCATCAAACATTTATCATCATATATATTAAAGACATTTTTCTCCTCACTTGAGGGCAAATTGGACAAAAAAAATCAAATAAATTTCATCTTGACATCCATCATAACATCCAAGATAGTCATTCAAAAATACATCATTTTGATCTCTCAGGAAATCAAAGCTCAGAAATGACCAGAAATCCCTAACTTGAAGAAGCAATGATTTGATTTCTTGAAGTCAACAATCAAGACATTTCCTCAACCTACAGGAACAAGAAGACTATCTATCATCTTTGAGGTTTTTTATTGAAGTAAAATTCAGTCTCTTGAGACATTTTTTTCCTTTGAGATCCAAATTTTGAATTTGTTTCACATTAAACAAAGTTGATTTCATTTGAGATCGTATCTATTTCAAAACAAATTTCGTCTCGCTTGAGACATTTTTCCACAAATTTTGAGAATTTTAAAACAAATTGTGTTTCGCTTGAGACATTTTTCCTTTGAGATACAAATTTTGAACTTAAAAAAATTAAACTTATTGTTGTTTCTTTCAAAACAAATTTCGTCTCGCTTGAGACCTTTTCCCTTTGAGATCCAAATTTCGAATTTGTTTCACATTAAACAAAGTTGATCTCACTTGAGATCGTTTTCTCAAAAAACAAACTTTGTCTCGCTTGAGACAATTTCTCTAAAAACAAATTTTGTCTCATTTGAGACTATATCTTAAAGCAAATTTCGTCTCGCTTGAGACATTTTTCCTTTGAGATACTAATTTTGAATTTGTTACACTTAAAATAAAATCTCACTTGATATTGTTGTTTATTTCGAAGCAAATTTCATCTCGCTTGAGACATCATTTTCTCTCATAATACAAATTTCAAGGTTATTGTACTTAAAGCAAAATTAATATCACTTGAGATTTTCAAAGCTGATTGGTCTCGCACGAGACAGTTTTCCCTTTTAACAAATCCTGAAATTATTTCATTTGAAACAAAATAAACACTGTTGAAAACCCTTGAGATTATTTCCATATAAACAAAATCGACAATATTTGAATCTTTTAAAACGATTTTTGTCTCTTGAGACAGTTTCTCTTGAAAAAATCTTTGAGTTTGTTCCTTTTGAATAAAAATCTTGGAGTTTGTTCCTTTTGAATAAATATCTTTGAGTCGTTTCTTTTGAAAAAAAACTTTGAGTCTATTTATTTTGAAACAAAGTTTTATCTCTCTTGAGACAATTTCGTGAAAAATCTTTGAGTCTGAAACAAAGTTTTGTATCTCTTGAGACAATTTGTGAAAAAAATCTTTGAGTTGTTTCTTTGGAAACAAAATTCTTTCTCTTTTAAGATAGTTTCTTTTGAAACAAAAATCTTTGAGTTTGTTTCTTTTGAAACAAAATTTTGTCTCTCTTAAGATAATTTCTTTTGAAACAAAAATCTTTGAATCTGTTTCTCTTAAAATGAATTTTGTATCTCTTGAGACCGTTTCTTTTGAAGTAAATCTTTGAATATGTTCATTTTGAAAATCTTTGAGTTTGTTTCTCTTAACAAAATCATCTTTGAGTCTATTTCTTTAAAAACAAATGTTGTCTCTCTTGAGACAGTTTCTAATTAAAAACTAACTTTTGAGATTGTTTCATTTGAAACAAATTTGGTCTTACTTAAGATGTAATCCATCTTTGAGTCTATTTCTTTTGAAACAAAATTTTATCTCTTAAAGACAATTTCTTTTGAAAAATCTTTGAGTTGGTTTCCTTTGAAACAAAATTTTGTCTCTCGAGATAACTTCTTTTGAAAATACCCACCTTTGAGATCGTTTCTATTAAAACAAATTTTGTCTCGCATGAGACAATTTTCTTTCAATGTCATCTTTGAGTCGTTTCCCTTTAAACAAATTTTGTCTCTTGAAACATTTTCTCTTAAAACAAGATCATCTTTGAGTTGGTTTCTCTGAAACAATGTTTTATCCCTTAAAACAATTTCTTTTGAAGAAAAATCTTTGAGGCTATTTCTTTGGAAACAAAATTTTGTCTCACTAAGATACCATTTTCTGAAAAACAAAGTTTTGTCTCTTATGACAATGTCTTTTCAAAAAAAAGAAAAAGAAAAAAAAATCATTGAATTTCTTTCTTTGGAAACAAAATTTTATGTCTCTCGAGACAGTTTCTTTGAGAAAAATCTTTGAGTTTGTTTCTTTGGAAACAAAATTTACCATCTTTGAATCTGTTTCCCTTGAAACAAAATAAACATCTTTGAGAACGTTTCCCTTAAAAACAAATTTTGTCTCATTTGAGACAATTCCCTTTAAATGCCATCTTTGGGTTGTTTCCTTTGAAACGAATTTTGTCTCTTTCGAGACAGTTGCTTTTGAAAAACTTATCTTTGAGTTTATTTCACTTGAAACAAAGCAAATATCTTTGAGATCGTTTCTCTTGAAACGAATTTTGTCTCCCTTGAGACAATTTTTATCAAAATTCAATTTTTGAGTTTGTTTCTACTGAAACACATCTTTGAGTTGGTCTCACTTGAAACCATTATTCCTAAGATGGCCAGTAGTCCTCATCACATAGGAACCGTGTCATCCCCAGACCAGATCTCCTCATCACGTAGGAGTCGTGTCAACCATTGGATAACCAGCCATCCTCATCACGTAGGAACCGTGTTATCACCTTTAGATTGGCCAGAACTCTTCATCACGTATGAGCCGTGCCATTCCCCAGACCAGATCTCCTCATCACGTATGAGCTGTGTCATCCCCTGACCAGATTTCCTCATCACGTAGGAACCGGGTCACCCTTAGATAACCAGTAGTCCTCATCACGTAGGAACCGTGTTATCACCTTTAGATGGCCAGAACTCTTCATCACGTATGAGCCGTGTCATTCCCCGACCAGAGCTCTTCATCACGTAGGAGCCGTGTCACCTTTAGACGACCCAAACTCTTCATCACGTATGAGCAGTGTCGTCCCCAACAACCAATATTATCCAATTTCTATGAAAATGGAAGAGAACCAGACAAAAACGTGTTGTCTTATCATCTTTGCCCTATTCTTGTTAACACAAGAATGTGCAAAGAGGGGCAGCTGTAGACACCCGTTTTTGTCCGGGTTTTTGTATATATTATTATTATCATTATTTAATTATTATTATTAGCATTATTATTATTTAACTTACAATTTACATTACACTGTTTTGCAGGCCAACCCATGCCCAACAAACGAAGCCCAATTGACCCGAGCCCATACCCATCACTCAGCAGCCCGATTGCAAACCCTAACCTTAGGGTATCAACATCCCAGCGCCGCACCAACATAGACCATTCGATCTGGACCCATTCAACGGTCCAGATCGATGGTAAATAGGGTTTCACAACCCTAAGCCAATCCAGCCGTCGTGCCTCTTCAACGTTCCAGTAGCCGTTCAAGCCAACAGCCATCAAGCCACTGCCGCCAGTGAGTTCCAGTTTCCCAGTCGACGAGCCATCGTCGAAAGCTTCCCGAGCCGATCAGAGCCCATCCCTCAAGCAGTCAACAGTGACAACATACCAAATCAATCAGCAAATCAGAGAAAAAAACCCAATAAAAAAACAAAAATAAATCTAAATAAAAAATCCCTATAATCCCGAAAATCCGGGATTCAATCACCCTAAATCAACAACCCATAATTTCCCTAAGCCTTAGGTACCATTATCACCGAAAGAACCCTTAAAAAAATCCAACAGGCAACCATTATGAGGGGAGAGGATTCGGTGAGAGCAACAGAGGGGAGAACGAAAAGAAAAATACAGAGAGAGCTTCGGGTGGGGGGCTCGAAACAAAGGAAAGCTCGAGAGAAAATAGAGATAGAGTGAGAGGCTTACCTTGGATTCGGTCCGGCCGTTGATTGCTTCACCGGAGCAGAGGACTTTGTGGTCAAAGGGGACCCTTTCGTTTATTCTGCGTCCCGTGGCCACCGGTTCACGGTGGTCGGGACTCTGGGCCGCCTCGTGCGATGAAGAAGCTGGGAGAGCTCTCCCCTGAATGCTTCGGTATTACTACTGAGGGAGAGAATGAAACCAAATAGGAATAGGGTTTTCTAAACCCTAAAACAAGGCTTATAACTTGTTTCCAACACGCCACCGTTTCAAGGGTCTGGGTACCCGTGTTTTGCAAGCATGGGGTAACTACAGTTTAGGTCCCTTCTCCTTTGTAATGCTTTATTTAAGTCATTTAATGAAATTATTATTGTTTTATTTCGAGCCTTTTAGTTTTTAATGATTGCATTTCAGTCATTAATTTGTATATTATGTTTGCTGATATTATAATTCGGTTGTGATATTTATATTTATTTCGTTTTAGTCACTGTTGCAGTTTATTGGGCATTTTCCTTTGATATTCGGATTTGGTCCTGAAATTTGCAAATGTTATATTAGTCCCTGTTCATGTTTATATCATATTTGTCTATATTTGATTCTGGATTTAATATTTTCAAATATTTTAATTTAATCACTGATCCCATGCATTTTTATTATCTTTACTGTTATTTGAATTTGGTCATCATATTCGTATATTCTATTTTAGTCATTGTTTGATGTTTGGTTTAATGTCTATTTTGTTTTCTTTTGTTTTGGGCATCTATGTTTCCTTGTTTATATTTTAATCCTACTAATGTATGTTATGTCATTTTTGTGGATATTTGACTTTGGTCCCAATGTTTGTAATAGTTTCATTTTAGCCCCTGAGTTTATATGTTATGTATTTTGGCTGAGTTTCGAATTTATCTCTGACATTTATAAATATATATTTAGTCACTAATCTTAGGTGTTGTGTTTTTCTTTGATATTCAAATTTGGCTATGATAATTATAAGTCTATTATCTTAGTCATTGTTTTACTTTTGGTTTAATTATGATTCGGCCTTCATGTTTATATTTTAATGCAATCTAGTCCTAAGTATTATTATGGGTTATTTATATTTCTGGTTCATGTATTATTTAATGTTTGCTATCTGGGCTCTTCTTTATTTATAATTATTGTTTAGCTTTTTAAGTTTCTATTATTTTCATCTTGGTCCCTAATCTTATTTGTGTATGATTTGCATACTGTTTAATATTTTGTTCTTGGCCCTGGATTATTTGTTTTATTTGTTATTTATTCCTTTAGGTTTTTATTATTTTTATTTTGGTACCTTAAAATCAAATGTGATTATTTATATTTGTGTTTAGATCTGTAATATTTTATTTATTCATTTAGGTATGATTTTATTGTACTTGTTATTCGGTTATTTGTATTATGTAAATAATGTTTTTAGTAATGTGAATATTTTATTTTGTATTTCCAATTACATTTATTTTCATTATATTTTTATCTATGTATGAAATATTCGATTATATTTTCAAGAACACGTATGCGTAGAATGGGCGTGGAAAGTACCACTTGATCGAAGTGGTGTGATCCGGTACGGCATTTTAACGACATAGAAACTTGAAATAAGTCGAGTATATTTTGCTAATTAATTTGTTCAAACGATGCAATGTGTGTTATTTAAGTGACAATTTATTTTATTTTATGTGAATGTAAATTTCAAATTTTTTTAATTTGTATTCAATTCACGTTTTTAGTTAATCAATTTACTCGTATGTAAACATCGCTTTTAGTTATATTTGATTCGCAATTTTTTTACATAATCAATGGTAGAATATTCTTTTACGAATGAGAAATGGTTGAAATAGCTTTCCCGACGGAGGATTGCAAATTTCAAGATTTCTGATTGAGTTAAAGGATTTTCTTTAAATAATTCGAGGCAAATTAAATAAATCTCAATAAATGGATAATAAATTAACTTTATATTCGATTTGTAACTTCCACCATTTATGACGATGTGTAAGCGACACAGTACCAATTTTGGGCGTTGTGGGGGTGTATAGCCTTCCCCACACGTAACCGACTCCCGAATCCATTTTAATTGAATCTTTGGTAAATGCAGACTATTTTTGTCTTAAAAATGATTTTTCTTAAAATTGTTTTAAAAGACGTCTTTAGGTATTCGACTTACCTAACCCAAAGGTTGATGGCGACTCTATTCAATTTAATTCAAATTAATTTCAAATCACCAATTTTCTAATTTAAAGTCATAATCGTTTTTAAAATAATATATAATTGTTTTATAAAAAATGGTTATTACACTTACCTTCTTCACTCCGCGGATCTTCTTAGCCCTGTTCTTCCGTTCCTTCAACTGCTTCCTCGATTTCTCCACCTTCTTATCGAGTCCGTTCTGAAAATGCAAGCAAAATAGATCATCAATGTCGCCCGTCATATTCGTACCCTTCAAACAAGGATGAATTACCCTGATAATGTAATTTTTTTTTTTTTTGTAAATTTACCCTGATTAGCCTGTATTTAGGTTCATACTTCTTTGCACTCTCGACAGAATCATAAATTAAACCGAATCCGGTAGATTTACCACCTCCAAAATGAGTCCTGAACTTGAACACGAATATCGAATTCGGGTCCTTAACCTCATACATTATAGCAAGCTTCTCCTTCAGCTCCGCCTAACAACCCAAATCAATAACATATTACCACAAATCAAAACGTACCAGCAGTTCAAACAAGATAACTTCAATAAGAAATATTAAGATTTACCTTGGAAACATTGGGCCTCCCAGGATGCAAAACATCAAAGATCTACCCAATAAAGAACCAATTAAATTAACAAATATAAGAGTTTGATCCTATAAACACATGAAAATACTTGGAAGAAATTAATGAAAAATGAGTGAAAAAAGGGAAAAGGAACATACAAATTGTTTCCTGGAAAGGAGCCGGTTGGTCATGAACTTCCTAGTCCTAACTCCTAATAGTCACTGCCTTGTCTGCCATTGCAAATAAAAAACCTTCCTTTTCCTTTCCTTTTGTTTTTTCGGAAGCAGCTGCTTATTAATATAAAGTATCTATCACCTAACTGTTTGATAACGTATTTTGGGAGATATGAATCCTATTTTAAGGGTGATTTGGTTGTTTTAAGGTTTTTTATCCGGGCTGAATATTTTGATAAATATTTGATAATTTTTAATTAATATAAAATTTTCAACAACAAAAAGTGTTGAATCAGATAAATAAGTAGATAAACTTAAATTATTTTATCTTATTTTTAAATTATATTTTAAATGATTTATCTTTTTTTATTAGAAAATTAAATGCAACTTTTCAATATTCAGTATAGAAAAACAAATTGCTCCGGATTATGAATAATATTTTTCAGTGAACACAGTAATATTTTCGTATTCCTTGACTATCATTATATAATAGTAGTAGAATTAAGATTCCACCCGAAAGAGTTTTGATATTGAATGCAAGTTTTAAATAATTAAATTTTGCTATGGTCAAAGTTTTAAAGAAGTAATAAGTTGCAGGACTAAATATGAAATTAGCCCAAGTAAACTAAACTACGGTTGTACTAGGAAAGAGAAATCAAGGGACTGAAATAGGAGTTACTCCCAAAATAGTATAAGGAAAGAATAAAATTACCATTAAAGGAAGATGATTAAAATGGTCATTAAAGGAAGATGGGAGATAAAATGGTCATTTTGAAAGGAAGAGAAAAATCTAGATTGGTATAGAATTACGGAGAAAAACGTGGGTTAATTTTATTTTTAAAGCACGTGATAATAAAATGTGGGTATAATTAAGCCTAATGGATTAAAATAAGGTAAGTAAAGTGGCATTATAATAGCCATAAAAGTGTGCAGAAACGATGGGGGCACTTGATAGTCAAAAATTGACTACCAAGCCCGTCCAAAACGTCAATTAAGAAGACAAGAAATAAAATATTTTGATGAATAAATACGGATATATCAATAAATTGACAAGGTGTGTTGGAAAATACCTAGATGATGACTCACATCCATATAGATGTGATAGTGCATTGCTAACACAACATATTATTTATTTATTCATGAATTGATTATCGAAATCGTTACAGATAAAATATTTATTAGAATAAAGTCTATAAATAATTTTTTAATATGTTGTTTTGTTGAGCCTCATTATTATTAAAAATTATAAAATGATCTTAAACTATTGAACATTTTTTGTTGAGTCTCTCGATTATTAAAAGTTATAAAATGTTCATCTGACTATCATTTGTTTTAAACTCGTCTTTTTTTCTTTAAAAATTGAAGGTCACCTGAGTTTAATGCTAACCTATTGATTGAGATATGATAAAATCTGATCTACAACATATAATTCAAACAGTTCATGATTAAATTTTATCATATCTCAATAAACAAATTAATATCTAACTTAGACACTCGTTGATATTTAACAAAAATGACAAGTTTAGAACATATGAATAGTCAAATGACCATTTTATAACTTTTAAAATCGAGGGACTCAAGAAAACAACATCTTATATATTTTATAACTTTTAATAGTTAAATAACTCAAAAAAATAATGTCTAATAATTAGTAGATGATTTTTATACTTTATTATTAATAAATGATATTGATATATAAATAGAGTTTGATAGTATTAATTGATATTGATATATTATTAATTGAATATATTAATTTTTTTTATATAAAATTGATATATTCAATTTTCTCAATTGAGATTAACTTACCAAATCCTTACAAGAAGATATAATGGTACGGGGGGAGTCAACTTGTAAGCATATTTTCTAAATTATTATTCATCTTTTTCTTTAAATATATTCAATTTTGATAATAAAAAAAACTTGTGAACATATATTCTAAATAATTATTTAATATTTCTAAATTATTAATCTTTTCCCCTTATTATTTTCCTAGAAAGAGCCGTCGTCAGCCCGCTATACCGATAAACGCAGCGTTTTTGCCTTTTGTAATTTGTTTTGTTTCCGTCGTCTTCTTTTCCCAGGAAAATCCGATCCAAAACCCTAGCTCTGGGAAAACAAATTCTTAAAGCCAAATTACAAAAAGAAGGAAATGGCTTTATTGAGAAGTCGCACAGCTTCATTGAATCTCTTCAACAGGTTTCTGCATCAATCGTTTCGTGTTCCCAATCTCAATCTCTCCTCTGGTACTCTCCTCTCAATCTTTTTTTCTCACAAAAAATTATCAATACTGCAAAATGGCGTCTTATCATATCCCCGTTTGGGTTCTGAGAGATCACTTGTCTTGCAAGTTTAAAGTTTGGTGCCAAATAACAGAATAAGGAATTAGAATGAATAAAAAATCGTTCTTTAGTTTCTAGGGTTTGTCACAATTTATAGTTTACTCTTTAACGCAATTCTTGCATAGAGGGAAGAAAGACAACGAACCTTTAGATATCTTTTGCTTCTCTTTCTTCTTCTTCTTTGAAATGTTCCTTTTTTGCAGTTGCTGCAGATGTTCATAATCAATCAACGATTGAGAGTATGAAAAGAGATCTACTTAATCTGGACATTAATTCACAAATTGGGAGTTGTATGCCAATTGCTTCTATGCGAATTGGAACCTTTATCCACAACATTGAGGTGAACCCTGGTCAAGGCGGAAAGCTGGTCCGGGCTGCTGGAACTTCTGCTAAGATCCTCAAAGAGCCAAAATCAAGATATTGTTTGATTAGACTGCCATCGGGTGCTGAAAAGTTGATTGATACTCGATGTAGAGCGACTGTTGGTACGGTGTCGAATCCTAGCCATGGAGCTAAGAAGCTTAGGAAGGCTGGACAGAGTCGGTGGTTGGGCAGGAGACCCGTGGTTAGGGGAGTTGCGATGAATCCGGTTGATCATCCTCATGGTGGTGGTGAGGGACGGAGTAAAAGTAGTGGAAGTTATGGTCAGACTTCGCGGACACCTTGGGGAAAGCCTTGTAAGTGTGGGTTTAAGACTGCCAAAAGCAGACGCAGAAACTAGTTCTCGGTCAAGTTGGCATTTTGCTTCTTTATCTATTTTCAACAATCTGATGCTCATGCTTTTGATGATTTTTGTTTATTAGTTAAAGGACTCATTGTATGAATTGAGGCATTTAGCCACTGATGCATTATGGATGTTCATCTTTGTTCTTCAACAGGTTCTAAAATAATCATGTTGATTTCAGGGAAATATGTTACATTTAATCGGTATCTCAGCTGATCAAACAGTGATGGTAATTTTTTTTTATATGCATCTTCAACCTTGTCTGCACAATCTGAACCATTTCTAAGAGTGCATTTTTTTTATGTGGATTTATTCATTTCCATCTTGTATTTGATTGATATATCGATATCTTTTTCTGGAAGTTATCTTATCATGAATAAACAACAAATAATGTGTTTCGGAAATTAGATCATTTAACTCTGGATTTCAAGTGAATTCTGTGTTAAAACTTATGTGATTAATTAGAATTCGTACAGTGCTGCTTGGTTTTTGAAGTAGTTATGTGGATTCAGATTAATTCATCTATAGTTCTTACAGCATACAAGAAAAAAAATCGAAAATTATTGAGATTATATTCATGTGAAATAGGGTGTAAAAATAATCTTCTTATAACTTCCTTTGATTACATAAATGATCAAACATGTTGAATAGATGCATATTCCGGTGACTACCACCAATTTGCCTCAGCCATTGGAGGTGGTTTGAATATTGTGCTACACAAATAAATAATCACAGGGCTGAACTCATCGGGAACACTTGAAATTTCCATATGTTCTTGCGATCTGACTGCCGCGAGCTTCTTCTGCATGGCTTCTAAGTATTCCCCGGCATCACATATGTAGAAGATGCTTGCCTGCCAGACAAAGTTGCTCCTTCCATACTATCTATGTAATCCTGTAAACAGTAACACAATGATCAATTATAACATTCCCATTTTTTCTTAATTCTTGGTTGAGGTCACATGAAATGCAGGAGTCCGGGACACTTGGTTGCCCTTCTTTTCTTAATTCTTGGTTGCATTGGATAACTAAGCCTGTTTAAGATGGCAAGAAAGAAGTTATTAGCGGGTGTCTTCTGATCAGGTCGGAATGGATCCTTACCAGGTCCTTCACGGTATAGAGATTGCCCGAATTTGACTACGGGCGACCATGTAACTTGTAATCGCTGGGATGATGGGAATAGAGCCAATACCGGCCAATAAAAACTGAAGTGATTATCATGAACTGAAATTCAATTTGTGAGCATACATGGATGAAGGAGAGAGTGAAAATGGACTTGGACTCTGACTGGACAAAGACAACGATGCATTTTGGTCTCTTGAAAGGTGTAATCAACTCGAGAGTAAATTGCTCCTTAGAAGTTTCCAACCTGCTTTGCATCTCTCCTTATGATTTCATGGTTTGGCAATGACATGTACGGGAGTCGAGACACGTCTGATAGTCAATACAGCCAAACAAGCAATAAAGTAATTTGGTCAATTGAGAAGAAAACCCAGAAAACAAGAAAAAATTATGGAACTAAAAATAACATACAAATAAACAAAGAAGGAAGGAAAATGGTTACCGTTAATACTCGTGTCAGATACATTGTTGTCTACAGAAGACCTCACACAAAATCCTTTTATGGAAGTTGAAAACTTTAGACAAGTGTAGAATGGATGAAAGAAAAAAGGAGCTAACTTGTAAGTAGACTTTGCCACTTACCATCGACCAACCCAAAAGCAGCATTTATGTTTTTGATTAAACAATTATCTTGTATCGTATTGTCACAGTTCTTCTTTTACGCTCGAAATCAAATTTCTTGTGAATTTTTAATGAATGGCGACCGTTTCTGTTTCTCTCTTAAGTCTTATCTTAAAAACCAAGACTTGAATTGCCCCCAACTTCTAGCTAACAGAATAAATGAGCTGTTTCATTCGGCTTCTGTCGGAATTGGACAAGGCTTTATTGATCAACTGACTTTTAAATTATACTCGATTCGGATTGATATCAAAATTATAAAGGGCAATATTTCAAAAGCCTTATTCTATCAATGTCAGATGTTTTTTTATAATGGATTGTACAAGTAAAGAAATACCCGGTTGTTGTAATGAGCAACTGCAATTCATAATCTGAATTTCATATAAAAAATCACAAGATTGTAAAAAAAAAAAAAAAAAAATCATCCAATAAGTCTTATATTTCCCATTCTTATTAATTTTAATGTATATTCGGATAATGTCTATAAAATATAGTTTTACATTAATTTTATATTATTCAGATTTTTCTTTTTTGGTAAAATATTTGTACTAGATATCGATATCCAACATATATTTGGATATGAATATAGGTACAACTCTCCCCCTAAGTTGGAGCAACATAGCTTGAGCCTACTTCAGTAAACTCTTGGCTTACCTCATTTGTAAGAAGTGGTTTCCATCTTTGGTGTAATTGTTGATTGATAAAGTTTGACAATCCATGGATCTTGATTCTCATCAGCTATGCCTATCGACTGCGAAGGCGAATATCGTTGAATGTATTCATCCATTTCTTCAGCTGGAGTAGTTCTTTTTCCTTTCGCTTTGAAGTTCAGTGCAGGCCGTTGTCTCGGTTCGCTTTGCGATCGGACTTTAGCCCTCGAAGATTGTGTGTTCGCCATGTAACTCGGCGTGTAACGATAATCGTGAGAACTGAAAGACGATCTCGCCGGTGTCGTCTTCGACATCGGAGGAGAATGCCGGGGACTGTTGTGTGTGGTGAATGAGAACTCACGTTTATGTTCTCTCTTCGGGATGGAAAGATCTCCCGAGTAAAATCTGGGGATTCCTTGCTCAATCCTCTCCATTCGTGAATGATTCATAAAACCATGATTTTCATAAAGATTTATATTAACACCATCCTACATATATGCACAAAACATCGATACATTAGTTGCTGAATTTGGAGTTGTTACAGAACGAGTTCATGTTTGGTTGGTTAGAAAACGATGGAAATTGAAAGAAAGCTTACTCTTTGTGCTCTTTTGAACTCTATCTCATGGGAAAACCTCGCATATCTCGATGATTGGGATTTAACAGCAAGTTGGGATTCCTCAGTCATTTGGACTCTCTTAAACCGAGCTCGAACTTGTATAGCCATTAGAGCATGCATGCTTCGGAGAGTTGCAGTCGTTTGTTTTCTCACCAGGTGACCCCTAACCAGTGCCTGCAACTTTACTAGTCCCCTTAAAGCATGCAATGCTTTCCTTGCCTGCAATGTTCACATCAATCAATACAGAGATCATTAGGCCTCTGCAACCATGGAATTCAAAGGTTTAAGCTAGGATTATTACCAAATACGAACGAAAGGCGGCCTGAATCCGGGTCGCCGCCGCATGCAACACTGCTGCATATGTTGCTTTTGTTTTCCTTTTGGTATACCTTGCCATTGCCATAGCAAAAACGTTCTTGTTATCGTGCCGGATCTCCATGTCGAATACAGCTTGCGTTCCGAGTGGAGTTGCGGTCATAGAATCGAATGACCGGGAACTCTTAGGAGCACAATCTTTACTCGACAACTTGCCGAAACTCCATCTCCGTTTAAACGAAGATGAGGGTGATGGAGTTGCACATGGGTTTGTAATCAAAGTCCCTTCTTCAAAAGATAGGGACAAGTTCTTCCTCTTCGCTTTTTCATCTTTTCTCCCTAACAAAAAGTTTACTAACCATTTGCCAGCCTTTCCCATGGCTGATCACACCAGAAAGAAGATTGAAGCTATTATAATTTATACAGATAACTCAGTTGACTGGTATTTTTAATTCATGTATGTTGGTTTGTGTTTTGTTGCTATTAAATTTATTTATGTATTAATTTATTTTTGGCAATACTTTTATACCAATCCAAGGCCTGCAATGGAAAAACTTATCCTGGTTAAGCCATTTGTCACTCTATTGAAGGTTTCTTAACAAAGTTTCAACTCCATTTATGGAGCTTTCTTAACTTCTAAACTTTTGTTTCCTTAAAGTAATGGGCCATCAAATAGACTAAATATGGCATCATTTGATGTAAATTGTAGCTTTGAGTAAAAAAATTTCTAACAGAAAAAATTATCTTATACATAAAAACGTTTTTTTTTCTTCAACTGTGTGCCGAATATGAATGTATACGATACGTCTAATCATATATTTAGAGGATGTCATATACCTATACCCAGGTGATATAATATAAATACTTCAAAGTCAAGAGCAGCATAGAAGGAACATTTACCTGCTTTTATACGTATTTATTATAACCTATGTTTGACTTAAATTAACATCAATTCAAGATTAAGAAAATCTTACTATCGTTCAATGTTTTGGGGTCCAATCAAAAAATTTTGGTTAAATTGATTTTTTTTCTCATTGTTGTGCTGCAGTAGCCTCTGCAAGCACCCTTCTGCTAAGCCTCTTGAACGGAATACCTTAGTATTTATTTCCAGATATACAAGCTGTGGACTACCATTCAAAGGCTTCAAGATGGGTGGTTCTAGGGGCAGTGAGGATAATCTGGTGGTCGGGTTAGGCGTCCTGATGCCCAAAGCAGAGCCCCGGGGAGTTCCTTATCATCGTGGTCAGACTTCTATTCCGGTTTCAGTAACAAAGTCTGGGCATCAAGATCATTTGTTTTCGTATATCAGTCATGAATATAAACAAAAATCAACAGGTAGATGATAAGTATCCATTTCAAAGAAAATAATGAAACTACAACCTAGAACTAACAATTAGCATTTGTTTTAAACTAAAATGCCCAACTGATAAGGTTCTCTCAACATGAATCATTGCCTAAAATCCGATAAGCTTGGACCAAATCTAAAAATTTGATAAATGCTTATGGCTACAGATGTCGTACAGATCACTGCAGTTCGCAGTTATTAATCCTCCGGCTTTCCAGTAGTGTTCTCCTTAAAGCTCTTAGTCAACCAGATGGCAGTTTCTCTAGGAGAGACCTTACCTGGTCCGAACGGCTTTAGTAACACACCAAGCTCATCATACCTCTCTTGCTGCAGCAACCTTGCACTAAATTCGAGCAACCCCTCCAATGCCTCGGCACGTTGCTGGAGCGATGAGGGGTCAAATATCCACCTCCGTGTGTCTGATGAGGTGTGGCTCGATGCCCCGGCAGTTGCATTGTGATCAGAGGAATCGGTTGCATCCCCTCCATCGGCTTGAAACACGCTGCGTTGAATTCCCTGCCATGCATCAGTGAAATGGGGCTTGGTTGAAGCTGGATCACAAGTTTGAACCATACATTTGTCTTTTGTGATTGAACATTCGACAAATTGTGGTGAGCCAGAAGAGCCCTGCGCCGATATTGATGAAGTTTTGTGGATGGGGAAGAAAGCATCTTCATACGAGGCTAATGGGAATTCAGCTATCTTATCGATTCGAGGAGCATTAACCGAAACATCCGGTGATTGTACGAGGTGAAGAATACCAGCTTTAGACAGAGAAGTTGATTCTCGGACCGTAGTCCTTCTTGGTAGTGGCAATGATGATCTTCGAGTAGCAGGAAGAGGTTTTTTAATTGGGGTGCCTGAACCATGAAACTGTTGGCACAAGGCAATAAACAGTAAAACGGCAGCTTTAGAAACTAGAAAAAAAAGTTAATATTAGCAACTTCTAGGAATGTGCTGCATAAACGTCCGAGAAAAGAAAAAGCGGTGAAGGGGAGAAAGGAGAGGATATATTACCGAGTCACGATTTTTTGAGGGCTGTGTCTTTCTCTTGGGAGTTGCAGAAGCCTTTGCCGAAGAACTTCTCATATCCTTGGTGCTACAAGAAAGTTTTGAAATAATTGGCTTGCAAATGACTGTTCCTTCATGGCTGCTATCAATTGACAAATCTTCTAATCTTCGATCTAAATAACCCGGTACACCATGATGTATTCCTTTGGTAGAGCAAACCAAATCTTGCTCAGCTCCAGAAATGCTTGGATTTAAAGTCCTATCACCGAACGGCAAACACCTCTCCCTGTATCCAGAGAAACGAACATCTACTGGATCCGAAAATCTAGTTTTCTTTATATTGGTTTCAGGCCAATCCACAGGCAAACTATTCCTTCTTGGGTTGTTGATTTTATGTTGAACTTTGAGAATGTATGGCTGAAGGTGCGGATGTTTGAGTAGCTCCTCAGCCTGTCACAATGGATACAGACCTCAGATCATCGGAAAGATAATGAATTGTAGAAATGTGCACATGCAGATGAATGAATGCTAGGAAAACCGGGCACGAAGCAGTATCACACTAAAAACAACTGCAATTTCGCTCTATACAATTCCAAGAACATTTATGATTGAACTTACATTTGATCTGATTATTGTCGACTTGTAAAGATGCTATGCATAATTTATAATACTTAAACCAGAGGAGAGTTATACATACACTCGGTCTGAGTTCGGGATTTTTGCGCAGCATGCTTTTAACAAGACCACGACTGAAGAAAATCAAGCAATAATTAAGCCAACATAATTCATCATTTTAAAACCAGCATAGAGAAATGACATTCAAAAGGTAGAAGCCAATCATTATACAAGAAGAAATAACTATAATTATTCCTATCATGGAAGGAAAACGAAGCTTACAAGGCCCCAGAATATTTTGTCGGAAGTGGAGAAACTATTGATTTATTTATCTTGTTTATCAGCGCCATCATATCCTGCTCGAGAGATTTAAGATCATTATAAGAGGAAAACGAAACATGAAACTGGAAAATGATTACTAAACATTAAACTATATTTCCCCTGGAGAAATGCATCCTAATGTCAAAGCATTAGTTATACATACAAAGTACCCGCCTGAAAGGGATGCAGCACAATTTTATATTCACTGATGGAAATGAGGACACACTGCCAGATATTTCAGCTGGTCGAGATGTCGTTCTGAAGTGCTAAAAATGACAAGCACTATCTAGCTCATTCATGAGGACCAAATATATAAATTGATTCTGAGTTACTATTCAAAATCTGGCCAAATTACAGCTCGAAAAACAACAAACAATATACTTGCGGGAAAAACATGTGTACATGGAAATCTGTGAAGACTATGTACAATAGTCAAACCTGTGTATTTTAGGAATCTGTGTCAAAGAAGTCCCAATTCCTAAGTACAGACTAAGCTAAAAGATATATATGCAACAAGCTGGAAATGGTTACAAAGTAAGAAAGATCGGTTAGAAAAACTCACAAATGCTTTAAATGCAGGCTTGAGAGAAATCATTTCATATATGCAGCACCCTGGAGAATATATTTTCGTGTCAAATAAACACATGTAGAAATAAATATCGAGACTGAAAGACAAGGAAAAGTGGCCTTTGTGTGCAAGCATGTTTACCTAACGACCAGATATCCGACTTAGAGCCATATGGTATGTCAGCCAGAAGCTCAGGACACATATAGCTCGGAGTTCCAACAACCTGAATAATAATGATGATGATTATTGATTAATAAAATCAAGTGATGAGTCAAATTCTCCTAGTTCATTCATATATTACTTACAGAGGATGTGAGATCATCGGAAGTCAAAATTTTGGCAAGTCCAAAATCACCTGCATAAGGTTTTTACTCTCATCTTGGTGAACAGAAATTGTAACCCTTTCAAATGAACTAAGAATAAAACAGTAATATCACTCACCGAGACGAATGTCTTGATCTTTTGTCAAGAAGATGTTCGAACACTGAAAAACACAATGAAAGAAAATATTCAGTAGAAAGCAACTTGGTGCATTGCGGAAGATCATAGAAGAGAACAACATCATGTCACTAACCTTGACATCACGATGAAGAATATGATTCAAGTGCAAATAGTCGAGAGCCATCAGGAGTTGAACAAGCCACTTGCACAGTTTCTGAACATGTTTCGGTGAAAGAAATTCAGACATGATTGTTAAAGAAAAAGAAAGGCTTTTTTAAGAGATTAAAAAACCATGACTTCAATATAAGATGAAATGGGAAATGACTGGTAAATGAGTTGAAGAATTAAAATGAAGAGAATGAAAAAAGGAAAGAAAAAAAAAACCTCTTCCGAGAAAAGCTTGCCATTTGCTTTCTTTATGGCTTCGGCCCTGGTTTATAAGGAAAACCTTATTATGATTGATAATGACTTACAAAAATAAATCTCGATACCAGCAAGAAAATAATCTTACATGTCTCCTCCTTCACAATAACCTATAATAATGCATACGTAGCAACCCTGAAAACAAAGACATGCAAGAAACCATGTCAGGCCATAGATCGCCGAGAAGATCCGGGTAAAAAGGGCATACCATCAAGAGGTCTATAAAAACTATATTTATAACATATGAAACAATAAAAACGAGTGTAAATTAACAAGCATAGTGGATAATCGAGCAGAGCAGCTATTAATTGGAAATTGTGGAAATAAGCATACCTTTTCTACCCAGGAATCTTTGTACTCCACTATGAACGGGTTTTGAATTTTAGAAATAAGCTCCATCTACATGAATCACATGAATTGTTAGTCTATAAATTGAACTAAAACTAAATTCATATCATAGAAACAAGCAGTAGGTCCATAACGAGCAACCTTGACAACAACCTTAGTGTTTCAAAAGTTCAATAATCAATATTTTCCAGGTCCAGAAACTGCAATAGCTAAAATGTTCGTGATTCAAATCTCTATTCAACATGTTAATAAAACATAAAGCAACACTAATGATCATAAATGGAGCATAAAGAATATAAGGAATTAAAATTACCAATGGGGAATTATACAAACCTCCTGATGAGCGGATCTACGAGACCTATCAGTCTGGCGGGAGAGACGGATTTTTTTAAGCACATACCTTATCATTCCCAAAGAAAAGAGAAAAGATAAATCAATTGACATAAGATGAATCGATCAAGGAAGTCTAATTGTTGATCTGATATATTGTACAATTCATGCCTAAAGTAAATACAAATATCGGGAAGGCGTTGTGTCTTATTTGCAATCTTACTTCTTCTTTTCACGCTTATGCCTCACTAGAAGTGCTGAACCAAAAGCTCCCTTCCCGATTTGCTCTAGCACCTCATACTGCTCCATGTGATAGATGAAGTTGACTTCCTTTTTCCAGATTAGGCCGAAAAAGAAGCTACAACATTAGATATCCATGAATCATTTATAAAAGATGGAGATGCACTATGCTGGTCAGACTTTTCATTTTCCAAATACATGGAAAAACTTAGAACTCATATCCAACACCCAAGTCCGAGTAATGCAAAGGAATATGCTGCAAATTGTCCAGTCAAATCATGAATTGATAATTCATCACAGCAGCCACTTTCATTGGTCATTAAGCTCAATTGAGTGATATAAGTTTTTTATTTAAGAACCAAGAAAACATCAAAAGTAACTGAACAGTTTCAGCTTAACATCAACACTTCATTTACTTACGAAAAAAAGGCCAAAACTTCAGATGCAATAATAAAAACCAATAACAGATACAAAGAAACAGATAATGCACATTATAAGTACTCATTCTCTCAGGTTGAAGAACACCCAGAAAAAATAAAGGATTAACAATTACAATGCATTATATAGAAGCCAACTTTCTTGAGCAAGAATCAAGAAAGCAAAGAACTTGGAAAAAGGGGGGATACAGAATTTCATGAAGAAAAATGAGCAAAAACATAAACCCAATAAACAGCAAAAGAGAGATTCAGAAGAAGGAAAGGAAATCTACAGATTCAGAAGAAAAGAAAGAAATTTGAATGTACCTGAGTGTAATAGTAGTAAAGGGTGTGTAAATTGTTGATCCAAAGAGATCAGAATGAAGAGAACAATGTGGACTTAACCATTTGAGCTGGAGTTAAAGAAAGAGACACTGTTTACAGTAGAAAGAAAGAAGAGAAGACCAACAAGATGAAGAAGCAAAGGAGGCTGCTGATTGTTGCAGCTGTTTCTCCATTGGGTTGGGATTTATTTTTTATTTTTTTCAAGGAAGAAAATGACAAACACTTTGAAGAGGGAGAGATTCAAGAGTTAAGATTGGACCACGATATATTATTACTCCTTAAAATAAAATTCTGGAAATTTGTTTTATGGAAGACAAGTTAGTGCCGTTTGGATACTTTAAGGATTAGCTAAGAGTAGTGTTTAGAGATTTCAAGTTAATGTGTTTAAGATTAATTGGTATGTTATTTACTATTTAATGTCAAATTTCAATAGCTATTCTTCAATCAGATATATTACTATATGAAACTAATATTAACTATAAATATGTTTTTACTTTACAAATATTTTCATACAAATACAAATGTGAGCTAGATACTTTTCTTTATGTGCAATAATAATTAAAAGATAATGTATTTTTAGAATTTGTTTAATATGTAGGATAAAAACGAATAATTAAAAAAATGTATTAATTAAATAATTTAAATTCAAAATAATATATCTAAATTTGAATTATTTAATTAATAATTTTTTTACCTTTACCCATTTTCTATTATTTTATTTTTACCTGAGGACCGACAAAAGGAGACAAGGTGGGGGCACAAACCTGTTTCGCATGATCTGCAGTCACGAAGGCCTATTATCCGGCGCGTTTTTATCCTACATTAAACTATTAAAATACCCTTCGTTTTTCATCTAATCTACCAAAAAGGGATTATGGACTTTGAAGTGTGGGTTTGGCATGTCGTTTTGTATTGCGTGGATGGGTTTGGTATTTGTCACCTTTAGACGTTGATTTCTGATTCAAATTAAAACTACCAATTTGTTGATCTCTAATAAACAATATGACATTAGAACCTAACCAATCACAAAATAAATGTCTAAACAGATGTGTTTTTCTTTTAAAAAGGATCATAGTTTAAGACCTCCCAATAGCATTAAAAGAAAAGAAAAGAAAAAATATTTTAAACGACGACGTATCAAAAACTTCTTCCAGTTTCGTCTTTCACTATGTATTCACCATTATTTTATTAAGTTCCCTCTTAACTTTCCCTCCGATTATTCTCTCTCAGGTTCAGCAATCTCGTTAAACAAGTAAACCATGTCGGCTTCTGAATCAGCTGCGGCAATTCAAAGAAACCAAGTGAGTATTCCTGTATTCAAAGTTCTGTCCTTTATGGGTACCCTTTTGTTTGGTTTCTGATAAAATCTGAAAAATTTTGGATGGAAAACAAGGAAAATATAAATGTGTATTTTCTGGATGTTCTTCTTTAATTGAAAATATTGGTTTTTTTTATTTGGACAATTGATTCTCCTTTAGTGTATTGATGGCTAATTGAAAAGAGAATTCTTGAAATTTGTATTAACTTGATGATTTAGGAACTTTTTTTTCCTTATAATTAGGTTGATCTCTTGGATTTTATTGATTGGTCTGGAGTTGAATGCCTTAATCAAAGCTCCAATCACTCTTTATCTAATGCTCTCAAGCAGGTAACTCTCTTCAACCTGTTCTTGTTTCTCTTAACAATGGCTGGTTTTCGTTCGTTATTGAATTAACTAGGCAGTTAAGCTTAATTTATTGTATGGAAAACTAATGGTTTCAGTTGAAGTTCTTTTTAAACATTGATTTTAGGGTTAATTGATTCTCCATTGTAAATATCATGTATTTACTTTGCTAATTAAGTTGCTTTTGTGGGGGAGTTTATGATCATGAAGTCATTCTATTTTATTCTCATCAATTAGGGTTATAGAGAAGATGAAGGTTTGAATCTAGAGAGTGATGTCGATGAACAACTTCTGATTTTATCCCTTTCACTCAAGTCATTAAACTACATTCTATTGTAGTCATGGGATCCGAAGAGGACGGTAATGTTTGTTTATATCTTTACCTTCCCATAAATCTTAAATGCAATCACACAGAAGCAAAGTTCTATTGGCTTGTTTCAAGTTGTACTCAGTATTTGAACATGAAGATGTTGTGGATTGGGAAATAAGAAGAAGAAATTATCGAAGAAGTGGGATTTTAGAAGAAGAAGAAGAAGGAAGATTACAGAAAATGATTTCTCATTCATTCAATTCATGAGCAAAAGATGACTACAACAAGTATTTTATTTAGTTACAAAAATAGTACTGAGAATCTAATTCTTGCCAGCTGGCATTTTTGCTAACAGACTTGCTTTTGTATCATTTCCCTGTTTAGCCTTCATTTGGGCCAATCGATCTGGGCCGCTCCATTGTGCTTCTGGCCTGCTCCCTCTCATCAGGTAACATAATCATCTGTCCCTCTTCCATTTTAATTCACAATTCACATTTTTTAATCCCTAACCCTCGAGCCTCCATCCCCAAATCCTCCCCTCTCTCGTCCATTCCCAATCTCTTCCCTCCTCGCCGTTCTTCTTCTCTTCCAACCATAACAATACTCACCCCACGAGAAGATCCTTGTCCCCAAGGATCAAATCCAGGAAACTGAGATTTAAAACCGTATAGTCTTTCCCATGTGTCATTCGATTCATCAAGATTCTCCCATCGAACCAAAAGCTGAGTGACTGGTTTGCTGTGTCTATTCACTATACGTTTAGCCAAAATCTTTAGAGGTTTAACTCTGAAATGTCCTTCATCATCTATTGCAGGAGGGTCCGTTGCAGCAATAGAGGAATCCCCGATAAATTTCTTCAGAAGGCTTACATGAAACACTGGATGAAGTTTTGATGAATCAGGTAAGTGTAATCGATAGGCCACTTCACCTATTTTTTCCAGAACCTTATATGGCCCATAATATTTCGCTGCTAACTTTAGGTTTTTTCGCAGGGCTAATGAAGTCTGTCTGTATGGCTGGAGCTTCAGGTAAACCATATCCCCCACATGAAAAACTCTTTCTGATCTCTTTTTATATGTTTGTTGCTTCATACGGTTGCTGGCTAATTCCAATTGCTGCTTGACCAATTGTCTGATATTCTCTCTGTTTGTCATCATATCTTGCACTGATTGCACTGTAGTTTCTGTGGTCCAAACCATAATAGGTGGTTTGTAACCATACAAAGCCTGAAAAAGTGTAATTTTTAGGGCAGTGTGATAAGTGGTATTATACCACCACTCTGCATGAGACAACCACTTAGCTCATTGCTTAGGCTGATAGAAGCAAAGCCCTCTAAGATATTGTTCTAAACATTGATTAACCCTTTCTGTTTGTCCATCTGTTTTAGGATGATAAGCAGTACTGAAAAGGGTCTTAGTACCCAACTGTTTCATCAGTTCCTTCCAAAATATACTAGTAAAGGTTCTGTCTCTATCAGAAATGGCCACTTTAGGATGGCCATGCAACTTATACACATTATCCAAGTAGATTTTAGCTACCTCTGCTGCAGAATAGGGATGAGATAGTGATAGAAAATGATTGTATTTGGTAAATTTATCCACAATAACCAATATACAGTTTTTCTTAAGTGAAGTAGGTAAACCATCAATGAAATCCATAGTTATGACTTCCCAAGCCTGATTAGGGATAGGCAGTGGTTGTAGTAATCCAGGCTTTGGAATATGTTCCACTTTAATTTGTTGGCAAATCTGACATCTAATAAAAGCAGTAACCATAGACTTAAGATTCGGCCAATAAAAAATTGACCTTATTCTGTAATAGGTAGCTTGTATTCCTGAATGTCCCCCTTGGGGAGAGTCATGCAAAGTCTGTATGATCTTCACTCTAAGGCTTCCATTAGATCCAATATAAACTCTCCCTTCATATCTAAGAACAGCCTTAGACAATTTCCATTTACTGTCAACAGTTGGATTAACAGTTAGAATTGAAATCCAATTCTGAGCTAAAGAGTCATTCTGATAACTGTCTTCAATCTCCTGAACCCAAGTAGGAATTAGGACTGTTGCTCTTATAGTCATACATTGAGCTTGATCCTCCCACCTTCTAGATAAAGCATCAGCAACCACATTTAATTTTCCTTTTCTATACTGAATAGTATAGTCTAACCCCAAAAGCTTTGTTAACCTTTTCTTTTGAATAGTTGTAAATAATGCCTCCATTTTGACACAGCTAAGAGAATAGCAAGATATTCTCTTTCATAAATAGATAGTGTTGAATCTCTAGGGCTTAAAGCTTTACTCAAATAAGCAATTGGTCTTACTTCCTGTGAAAGAACAACCCCAATACCCCCAGAACTAGCATCTGTTTCCAGAAAAAAATTCTTAAAAAAATCAGACAGTGCTAAAACTGGAGCAAAACACATAGCTTTCTTAAGATTTTCAAATATAGTATGAGCAGCAAAATTCCATTGGAAGCCATCCTTCTTTAATAGTAATGTCAATGGTCTGCTAAGAATGCCATAATTTCGAATAAATCTTCTGTAATAACCTGTTAGACCTAGAAACCCTCTGAGAGATTTAAGGGTTTTAGGCTTCGGCCAAGTTTGCATAGCTTCCACCTTACTTGGATCAGTAGACACCCCTGCAGCAGAAATAATATGGCCAAGGTACTCTACCTTGGTCTGTCCAAAAAAACACTTGGACAATTTAGCAAATAATTGGTTCTTTTGCAAAACCTCCAAAACTGACTGTAAATGTTCAACATGATCTTTCATACTGTTGTTGTACACCAAGATATCATCAAAGAAAACTAAAACAAACTTCCTAAGGAAGGAATTAAACAAATCATTCATAAGAGCTTGAAATGTAGCAGGAGCATTAGTAAGACCAAAAGGCATTACCTTAAACTCATAATGGCCTTGATGTGTTCTAAAGGTTGTCTTGTAAATATCTTCAGGTTTAATTCTAATCTGCCAATAACCAGACCTTAGATCAATCTTTGAGAAATAAATTGCCCCATGCAGCTCATCCAATAAATCCTCCATTATAGGAATAGGAAATTTGTCTTTAACAGTCATACTGTTAAGTTGCCTATAATCCACACAAAATCTCCAAGTGTCATCCTTCTTTTTAATAAGAAGGCAGGGAGAGGCAAAGGGACTCCTGCTAGGTTGAATAATAGAAGAAGTTAGCATAATAGCTATTTGTTTCTCAACTTCAGCTTTCTGATTATAAGGAAATCTATAAGGCCTTAGATTAACAGGATTGACATTAGGTTTAAG